AGCACCGACCTCTTTTAAAGCCCCAGCTAAAGCAGCTGCAGCCAGGAAGAGCATCTGCCAGGAAATAAAAATCAAAGCCCCTGCTCCAGTCTTCCTCCTGCTCCCCACTGCTCTACTTGGAAATCAGGCTGAGGCCTGGAGCTGGGGCAGCTGGCCGGTGGGGCAGAGACCACAGGTGGGCTGATTCATAGCAGGGCAGAACACAGCTCCCTCCAAAGGCTCTTCTGACATTCTGGGTGAGGGAGAAAAAGTCCTTCCTCTCTCTGTCTGAGGTGCTCATTCTTAGTGATCCTCAGTCAAAGTTAAATGCCAACAGAGAGCGCTTCACCAGCACTTTCTATTTGGCTTGCTGTTCTAAAGGAAACAGATGGATGTGGGTGGACATGCTCCCCCACCCCCACCCCAACAATGTAGAGTTCAAGGAGTGTCTCATCTCCTGTTCGAAAGCCTTTTTTGTTGTGGCTGTTGTTGTTATGTGTCGTGCCAAGTCTTTTCCCGGGGAGCTGCAGCATACGCAGCTACTCACCCTAGAGGGGGAGCCCACAGCAGACAAGAGTGTGGATTCTGTAAAGGCCACCTTGGTGAACCAATGAGTTTTCTGGGGGTTATTTACAAGGATATGGATGAGGGCTCACTCATGGGAGCAGAACTGACTCAAAGACAGCTGTACCACCCAACCGTCCCCAGCACACGGGACTAGTCCACTGTGCTCAGCCTGCAGGCAGCTCAAGCAGGTAGGAGCATGTTCCCTCCAGTGTCTAGGTTGATCTCCACCTCCTCCAGACAGCTCGGCTGGCCGGTTTCTGTTTCCTCCAGGCCTCTGCTCTGCTTTCAGAGGCTCCTTTGCAGCTAGCTCCTCTGAGGGGGACTCTCGCCCTCCTGGGGGACGGAGCATGGTGGGTCTGGTCAGTTTCAGGGACTTCCTGAAGCTATTTTGAATTATGTACCTCCTGGCTTAAGAAGTTTCAACCTCCCAGGAAAATGCTACACCACAACCTACGTGTATGTGTGTGCTGTGTGCAGGTACCCACAGAATCCAAGACGGTGCCAGAGAGCCTGGAACTGGAGTTACAGGACGTCATGAGCTGTCTAAAGTGGGTGCTGAGAACCCCACTCTGGACCTGTAGGACAGGCTCCTGGCAGATGAACCAGCTCTCCGGCCTCTCACTCCCTCTCTCGATGCCACCAGATGGAGCAAGTATTGAAATCCAACTACCCAAGTTTCTCTCGATCGTTTTCTGCACCGTGCTCCGCTTCGCTCAGCCTTCCAGCCTCACTGTAGGAATAAGTCATCAAGTCAATCGGCTTCTTATGGTTCCAGATCGGCCCTTCTTCACACTCGCTGCCAAACTTTGCATTGTCTGCTCAGCTCTACATCCCGGGCCTCCCTCAGGGTAGGCAAAGTCTGCTTCTGGGCTTGGAATACCACATGCTTATGGCAACCACTAGTGCCACCTCTCCTTAGACTGCGGGGATGATCGGTAAATGTTCAATGTACAGCACCTACAGCAGGGGATCCAGAGTGGATGTGTTTACAGGGACCGGCAGCCAGCTAGTCAATGACCTGTTCCACGGGCACAGAGCGGCTCTCCTAAGTATGCCCATACATTCTTTTTCCTCTGGGTTTCATTCATTAAATCTAGTTGTGAGCGTGTGTGGGTGCTACAGCAAGCGAGCGTGTCCAGGTCAAGGGCCGATTCTGGGAGTTGGTTCTCTCCTTCCACCCCATGGGGTCTGGGGATCGAACTCAGGTTGTCATGCTTGGCAGTAGTCACCTTTACCCAATGAGTCACCTTGCTGCCCCCAAACCATTTTGGGGAACATTGGGGGGTGGGTTGGGGAGCAGCAGCTATATAGCCCGTGGCTGGCCTGGAACTTACTATGTAGACTAGGCCGTCCTCAAACTCAGAGATGGTGCCTGCTGCAGCTGGAGTTCAGGGTGTGACCAGAATGACACCTGCTGCAGCTGGAGTTCAGGGTGTAACCAGAATGACACCTGCTGCAGCTGGAGTTCAGGGTGTAACCAGAATGACACCTGCTGCAGCTGGCATTCAGGGTGTAACCAGAAATGACACCTGCTGCAGCTGGTAATAAAGGTGTGCACCACCACACCTGGTCTCCCTTTTCTTTTGAGGCAGGTTGTCACTGGTGGTCTTGCCTGGCCTTAATCTTAGAGCAGCAGTCCTCCCCTGCCTCCTCACCCCTGAGCACTGAGATTACAGGAATATGCCACAACGCCCAGCTACATGTTTTTCTAAAAAGATTTATTTATTGGGCTCAAGAGATGATTCCAAGGACAAGAGCACTGGCTGCTCTTCCAGAGGTCCTGGGTTCAATTCCTTGTGACCACATGGTTGGTGTCTTACAACCATCTATAATGAGATCTGGAGCCCTGTTCTGGCGTGCACACATAAATGCCAGGAGAACACTGTATTCATAATAAATCTTTAAAAAAATACTTATTTTATGTATATGAGTGCTCTATCTGCATGTACGCCTGCACCCCAGAAGGGAGAATCAGATCCAACTACAGATGGCTGTGATTCACTATGTGGTTGTGTAGCATGAATCTTCAAAGTTCTTATTAATAAAATCAAACCTGAGGCCAGTTATTGGGGTGAATGCTGGTAGATCAGATGCAGAACAAGCCACAGCTAACCTCACCTGGCCAACTTCTCAGCTGGTCTTGTTTCCTCATACTGGAAGTCTCTGAGTCCTCATCCAGAATGAATTTCAGCTGAACTGCTGCTTGTAGCCTGAAAGCTTAACCAGCCAAATGCTTCTAGTTCCTGGTCTTCACGCCTTATATACCTTTCTGCTATCTGCCATCACTCCCTGGGATTAAAGGCTCACTTCTTGGGATTAAAGGTGTGTGTCACCATGCCTGGTTGTTTCCAATGTGGCTTTGAACTCACAGAGATCCAGAGGGATTTCTACCTCTGGAATGCTATGATTAAAGGTGTGAGTGCCACCATTTTCTAGCCTTTGTATCTGGTGGCTGTTCTGTCTCTTACCCCAGATAAGTTTATTAGGGTACACAATATTTTGGGGAACACAATACCACCACATGGTTGGTCAGCTGGTGTGCTTAACAGCTGAGCCATGTCTCCAGCCCCCTACATGTTATTTTTCCAGGTGTTAGTGAGAAAGCCTGGCACTGTCCACTCATTATGTATGTTTGGAACCCCCACCCAAAGTCCCCTGGCTAGTCTGTACAGCTGCTACTACCTACCCCCACCCCACAAGGGGCACTCTAACGATTAATCCAGGGCCTGCCAAATCGGCCTAGGGGGAAAACACACTTGCTGTCATGGCTGACTGTTGGGGAATATTGTTTTAAGGTGTGTTACTTTTGTTCATGTTGCATTTGTTTAACTCTGTGAAGCTGTGTTACTGTGCCTGTCTAAGACACCTGATGGTCTAATAAAGAACTGATCCACCAATAGCGAGGCAGGAAAAGGATGGGCGGGGCTGGCCGGCAGAGAGAATAAATAGGAGAAATCTGGGAGAAAAGAGATCCAGCATCGAGAAAGAGGAGGGCATCAGGGTCCAGTCACCCAGCCACCCAGCTACACAGCAAGTCACGGAGTCAGAGTGAAAGGAAAGGTTAAGAAGTAAGAAAAGGTAAAAGTCCAGAGGGAAAGACACAGGGTAATTTAAAGTGAAGAAAAGCTGGCAAGAAACAAGCCAAGCTGAAAGCAGACATTCATAAGATAAGCCTCTGACCAGGCGGTGGTGGTGCACGCCTTTAATCCCAACACTCGGGAGGCAGAGCCAGGCAGATCTCTGTGAGTTCGAGGCTAGCCTGGTCTACAGAGCAAGCTCCAGGACAGGCACCCAAAAACTACACAGAGAAACCCTGTCTCGGGGCGGGGGGAAGCCTCTATGTGTGATTTACCTGGGAGCTGGGTGGAGGCCCCCAAAGAGACAAAGTAAGAACACGAACAGTGACAGCCTGAATTTGATCCCCACAGTCCACTGGTGTAAGACTCACTGGAGCTGTTCTTGACCATCACCTGAGTCCCTGCCCTCACCCACTACATACACCCGTTTAAAACTGTAAGTTAGGCCGGGCGGTGGTGGCTCATGCATTTAATACCAGCACTTGGGAGGTATCTCTGTGAGTTCGAGGCCAGCCTGATCTACAGAGTGAGTTCCAGGACAGACAAGTTACACAGAGGAACCCTGTCTCAAAAAACCAAGATAGATTAGATGGATGGATGGATGGATAGATTAGATGGATGGATGGATAGATGGATAGATTAGATGGATGGATGGATGGATAGATTAGATGGATGGATGGATTAGATGGATGGATGGATGGATGGATGGATTAGATGGATGGATGGATTAGATGGATGGATGGATAGATTAGATGGATGGATGGATTAGATGGATGGATAGATTAGATGGATGGATAGATTAGATGGATGGATGGATTAGATGGATGGATGGATTAGATGGATGGATGGATAGATTAGATGGATGGATGGATTAGATGGATGGATAGATTGGATGGATAGATTAGATGGATGGATGGATTAGATGGATGGATGGATAGATTAGATGGATGGGTGGATGGATGGATAGATTAGATGGATGGATGGATTAGATGGATGGATGGATGGATGGATGGATGGACAGATCAATTGATCAATTGACAGCCCTGACTTGCTCTTCCCTCAGACCTGGGTTCCTTCTTTTCCCGTACCTACAGTGAGGCTCCAGTTCTTGGGGTCCCAATGCCCTCTTCTCCACCCACCCCTTCTCTAGTACTGCACACACATGGTACACAGACAATGGTCAGGTAAAAACATCCCTAAACAGTAAATAAAACTAAGTAAAATAAAATAAATAAAAAATACCAGAGGCTAAGGCGCACTCTACTCCACTTCCTCCCCTCCAAAGAGACTGCGTTGATCAAAACCACAGTAACCCTTGGGGGAGAGAACCATCATACAATTTGGCCCTCAACCATCCCTCAGCATTTACACAGCACCTTCACGGTTCCAAAGCATGGTACCAACATTTATTAACCCTCACAACACCCCTGTGAGGTAGGTCAACATGTCCTTTAGAGCAGAGAACTGAGGCAGAAGTCAAGAGAATCTTTCCCAAACCCGATTGAGGCCACAAGGGCAGCTGGTGAGGGTCGGATGGGTCCCGAAGCAAGGGCTCCTGGTCCTGCACTCTCCCACTGGTGGACACCGTGTGGGCGTGTTTCTACCACGGAAGGTCACAGACACGAAGGACAGAAAGGATCTCTCGGCCAACACCAGGAAAACCGACTCTGAACAGCACGGGGACACGTGTCCGTCGGAGAGGACACTGACCAGCACACCGACCAGCCAGAGAACATGCACTGGGAAGGGCTGGGTGGGGGTCAGGGCCACCGCCTGCAAGTGGCCCCGGGAATCTTCGGGACGGTTTGGAAAATTGTAAACAAACTAGGAACCTGTTCCAGGGATGACCAGCCTGAATCCCCGTGGTTTCCAAATAGGAGAGGACTTGGAAAAAGACAGAGAAATCCATTCCACCTACTTTACTCTGGGAACGAGGATCATGTCCGCTCCCCACAGAGATCCCGGGCGTGGCACCCCATCTGCACACCAGCTTTCATCCCGGGGAATCTACTTCCCTCACCAACTCAAGAGCTCTTCCTTCTAGCAGAAGGCTTTTCCTCTGTGCCGGTCAATATGTTACCATGGTTGCCATGGTAACTAGGAGGGACGCGGTTGGCTGAGCTAGGGACGGGTCCAGAGAACTGTGATGCTCCTGCATTCCGGAAAAGGCAGATGTCTGCCTCTGTCCAGCCGCTCCTTCTGTGGAGTGCACCCAGAAGACCAGGTCGCTCTACAGTAAAGCGGTCGGTGAACTTGGTTCAATTGGCCATTTCAAAAGAAAGAAGGGGGGAGGAAAACAAAAACCTGCACTGTAAAGCATAATGCTGGAGTGGATTTATTATCGCTACCCCCAAATTCCAGAGCGATACAAGGAGCACGGAGTCCAAACGCCGCTGGTATCGCTGGGTGGTTTACAATATTGGTTTAGTTCACAAGTTTAAGGCAATCATACGAACACATCTGCTTTTCTTCAGAGATCGACCATACTGATAAAGCTCACAAAACTGACCCCAAACTTTACGTTTCATTAATTCAAAGTAAGTCTCATTAAGATGTTTACACGGATACATGAAAGAACGAAGGGCACAGGATGCTTAAAAAAAAAAAAAAAAAAAGAAATCCAGAAAGGCAACCGTTATCGTGTGTGGACAGTGGACTCTTGAGAATGTTAAAACTGGACAAGAGATCGAGAGGTAAATAAGGCCGCCAGCCAAAAGATCGCTACGCACAAAATAAACACAGTTAAGACAGGCTACTTAAAGGAAAGAGGAAGTTGAACTTTGGGCTTCTCGGAAGGTCAAGTGCGGGGTGGCAGACGCTGCCCTTGGCCGGTGAGCCCCGCCACTCCACTGTCTCTCAGAAGAAGAGCCGATGCACCGTGCCAGCTGATCTGTGGTTCCAGTGAGCTTAGATGCCGGAAGTCATCAAGAAAACAAACGAGATTTGAAGGCAGCCCTTTTCAACAGAAGGCGGAGTGTGGCCTATGTGTCTCCATTTAAAACGGCAAGGCAGTTCTGCAGCAGCTGGAGGTTGCCCTGGAAGGGAGCAACAAACCCACCATCAATTTCTTTAGTCCCAGCAGCTTGAGAGTCGCTGTTTGTGAATATTTTCTATTGTCTGTGAGGTGCATGGGTGTTTTGCCTGTGTGTATGTCCTGGCCCCATGGGTGTGCCCGCTGCCTTCAGAGGCATCACCGAGCAACCAAGAAAGACAGGATAAAAGATAAAAATGGTATTCTGGTGCCAGATTCTAGAAACACTTCTATCACAGTTAAAGACACAAAGTGCCTGCTTGTTCACCAAATTTTTACCTAGACCAGTATTAATGGTTTACATAGTCTGACTTTGAGCCATCTCTCCAGCCCTACACTAGTATTTTTTTTTTAAATAAAAATGCTAGCATTACAATCAAAAGTATTCTACAAAATTCACATGCATCTAGCCATTTGTAGAACATTTTACCTTTCTTCAAAATTTACAAGATCTTGACTAAAGGCGTGGTGGCGCATGCCTTTAATCCCAGCATTTAGGAGGCAGACACAGGTGGATCTACTGAGTTCCAGGACAGTCAGGACTACATAGAGAGACCCAGTCTCTTCTCAGTTCCACCACACCCAACTGCGGTGGTTTGAATAAGAACGGCCCCATGGACTCAAGTTTGAATGCTTAGGAGTAGCTTTAGGAGGTGTCGCCTTATTGGAGGAAGTGTGTCATTGTGGGTGTGCTTTGGGGTTTCAAATGCCCAAGCTAGGCCCCGTGGTTCTCTCTCTGCTGCCTACAGATGCAGAGGTAGAACTCTCAGCTACCTCTCCAGCACCACGTCTGCCTGCCCGCAGCCATGGTGTCCACCATGATGATAATGGACTAAAGAAACCTCTATAGAGCAGCCCCAATGAACTGTTTTCCTTTATAAGTGTTGTGTGTCATGGGGTCTCTTACAGCACTAGAACACCCATAAGAACCCCTCCCAAAGACAAACAGACGCAAATCCATTTTAGATGTCTATGAATGAATTAGGTTTTACACACACGCACACACACACCCAGAAAGACTTGCCATCTTACTTTATATGGAGGAATATTCTGCCTGCCTCTATGTCGTCCATACGCCTGTACTTGAGGATGTCAGAAAGGACATCAGATCTCCTAGAACTGGAGTTAGACAGAACTGAGAACCTCCTGTGGGTGCTGGGAACCGAACCCAAGTGCTCTGCAAGACCAGTAAGAGCTCTCTTTTGGGTGGGCGGGGAGGGGGGGGTTTCGAGACAGACTTTCCCTGTAACATCCCTGGCTCCTGGAACTAACCTTGTAGACCAGGCTGGCCTCAAACTCCCAAAGATCTCCCTGCTTTGGCCTCCAGAGTTCTGGGATTACAAGCATGGGCCACCACACCCAGCATAGTAAGTGTTCTTAACTGCGAAGCCGTCTCCCCATCGCCATCTTTTCCATTTTTAAATTTCAAAAAGAAATTTTTTCTTGTGCATTGTGTGTATATGTGTACAATTACAAACATGTGCAGGAGTCTTGTCTCTCCTACCTTTTTTAACTTAAAAGTGATTTACTCTGTGTGTGAAAGGGGGGAGGAGAGGGGAGTGCAGGGCAGGGGAGGGGAGTTAGATGTAAGTACACTTCAGCCATATCCGTCCCCTCTTGCAGAGGTCAGAGGATAACTTGTAGGAGTCAGTCCTCACTCTGTACCTTCTTCCTGCTGCTGTGCTGCTCGCAGTCTGGATGACCCACACACTTCTGCACAGTTCTGTGTGGTGATATATTTTGTCACCCAATATACTGTGTACCCTAATAAACTTATCTGGGGATCTAAGAACAGAGCCAGGCACTAAATTAGACATAGACCAGGCGTGGTGGCACACGCCTTTTATCCCAGCACTTGATATCTCATGCCTTTATTGGAAAACACACATCCTTAATCCCAGGAAGTGAGGGCAGGAAGCAGAAAGGTATATAAGGCGTGAGGACCAGGAACTAGAGGCTCTTGAGCAGCAGTTCAGCTGAGACCCTCAGGTGAGGACTCAGAAGCTTCCAGTCTGAGGAAACAGGATTGGCTGAGGAGTTGAGGAGGTGAGGTTGTCTGTGGCTGCTCTGTTTCTCTGATCTTTCATCGTTCACTCCAATATCTGGCTCCAGGTTTTTTATTAATAAGACTTTAGCAATTCATGTTACATCTACAGTTCTGTCCCTGCCTTTCATCTTGTGCTAGGAGTGCTGGGGTGACAGATGTGCCCTAGGAGTGCTGGGGTGACAGCTGTGCCCTAGGAGTGCTCAGATTACAGCTGTGCCCTAGGAGTGCTCAGATTACAGCTGTGCCCTAGGAGTGCTGGGGTGACAGCTGTGCCCTAGGAGTGCTGGGGTGACAGCTGTGCCCTAGGAGTGCTGGGGTGACAGCTGTGCCCTAGGAGTGCTGGGGTGACAGATGTGCACTAGGAGTGCTGGGGTGACAGATGTGCACTAGAGTGCTGGGGTGACAGCTGTGCCCTAGGAGTGCTCAGATTACAGCTGTGCCCTAGGAGTGCTGGGGTGACAGCTGTGCCCTAGGAGTGCTGGGGTGACAGATGTGCCCTAGGAGTGCTGGGGTGACAGCTGTGCCCTAGGAGTGCTGGGGTGACAGATGTGCCCTAGGAGTGCTGGGGTGACAGCTGTGCCCTAGGAGTGCTGGGGTGACAGCTGTGCCCTAGGAGTGCTGGGGTGACAGATGTGCCCTAGGAGTGCTGGGGTGACAGATGTGCCCTAGGAGTGCTGGGGTGACAGCTGTGCCCTAGGAGTGCTGGGGTGACAGATGTGCACTAGGAATGCTGATTACAGCTGTGCCCTAGGAGTGCTGGGGTGACAGCTGTGCCCTAGGAGTGCTGGGGTGACAGCTGTGCCCTAGGAGTGCTCAGATTACAGATGTGTCCTAGGAGTGCTGGGGTGACAGCTGAGGGGAGTGAACACCAAATACATCCAAGTACTTATTTAGGACAAGAAAGAATGTCCTATCTCCTAGGTTCGGAACTAGGATGGTTATGAGCTACCTGATGCGGCTACTGGGAACCAAACTCCAGTCCTCAAGAGCAGCAAGTGATCCTAACTGCTGTGTCACCCCTCCAGCCTCAAAGGTGTAGCCTAGGCTGGTTTTGAACTTGTGACCTCTTCAGTGTGTCCTACAGGTATGTACTACTATAACTGGCAAACACCAGAAGTATTTTTTTACATTATCTTGTGTGTGTATGCATGGGTGTGTGTAGTTTGGAGGTCACAGAACAACCTCCCAAGTAGAGGCTGAGGCAGAAGATCACTGCATCCAGTGTCAGCCTGGTCTACCTAATGAGATTAAGCCCAGCCTCAAGAGTGAGAAGCTGCCTCAACCACAGCAAACAATCTAATTCCCATTCTGTCAGGATGAGAATGAACTCGGGGCAGAGTGTTGGCCTGCATGCAAGACCCTGCACATAACCATAGTACTGAAACCACAGACCTAAGGGAGGGCCAGTGAGACGGCCAATCACGTAAGCACTTTTACTGCGTGAGCATGGGCCCTGAATTCCACCTGCAAATTTATACAAGGGGACACGCGCACACACACAGTGTAAAACATCCAAATAAATCAAGGACAGTGTGTCAATCTCCCGAAGGAGGTTGATCAAAGGATTACCATCTATTTTTTTTTTTTTTTGGTTTTTCGAGACAGGGTTTCTCTGTGTAGTTTTGCGCCTTTCCTGGAACTCACTTTGTAGACCAGGCTGGCCTTGAACTCACAGAGATCCGCCTGCCTCTGCCTCCCGAGTGCTGGGATTAAAGGCGTGCGCCACCACCGCCCGGCTATTACCATCTATTTTATAACTGACTCAATTTAAAATTTAAATGATTCAATATTTAATGATACTACCTTTGCATGCTTTAGTTCTAGTTCTGCCAGTTCCACTAAATTTTTTCTGAATGCAGCAACTCTTCTTGTCTTAAAGTCTATCAGTTCTGTAAACAAAAACATAAAAATTAGAAGGACCCACCACAAAGCACACCTTGCACTAAAAGGCGTGTCAACAGTACCTTGTTTTGCAGATTCAGAGATCTTCTCGAACTTCTGACAGCACAGCTGTTGGGACGTTTCTGCCTGTAGAACATCTTTGTTCTTTGCTCTTGCCTTGTCCAGGGCTTTGTTGGCATTTTCATAGTCCACCAGCGACCTGGACCTTCTATAGAGGAGGTCCTGCAAAACAGAAGCACACTCAGTGTGCGCTGCGCCCTCCTGCCTTAGACACCACCACCAGCAGCCGCAGGGACATTCACACAGAGGGAACTCGTAAATGCTTTGTTCTGGGGGAACCAGGGCCTCCTAGTTCACCACTAATTACACACCAGGCCCTAAATGTGTGTTTGTTTTTATAAATAAATAATAGCTTAATTGACGCCAAATGCACATACTTTATAACTCACTCATTTAAAATACACAACCCAGGGCTTGTACTATGTGCACAGAGCTGTATAATCATCCGAACCAATTTTCGACACTAGTCACTGTGCAGCAAGAAAACCCATGCTCACTACCACCTTTCTTCCTCCAGGTACTTACCCATTCTGGACAGGGTCTCCAGTAGTCAGGATGGCTTCACACTTATTACAAGGCTGCAGGTGACTCTGAACTCCAGAGCCTCAGTTTCCACTTCCCAAGGGCCAGGGTTACTGGCACACCCCACACCCCACCCCACCGCTGCCTTTTTTCTTTTTGTGAGACAGTGTTTTGACTATGTAGCCAGGCAGTCCTGGCACTCAACAGAGATCCACCTGCCTCTGCCTTCCCAGTGCTGGGATGAAAGGCAAGGCCTACCATACCCAGCTGATTTCTTCCTTCTTTTGAAAACAAAACAAAAAAGCAAAACAAAAACATTAAAATCCCACAATATTTATTAAAAGGTAAATGCTGATCTCCAAAATGGACTTAAAAAATACTGAGCTGGGTGTGGTGGTGCATGCCTTCGATCTGAGCATTGGTGAGCAGAGGAAAATAAATGTCTGTAAGTTCGAGGCCAGCCAGGGCAATACAGTGAGATTCTGTCACTCTACCTCAACACCCCTACAAAAGAAGGATTCACGAATTCACGTTAGGCTAATCTCTGCATATTTCCATTTTAGTAGATGTGCTGCTGAAGCAAGCACCAGCTAGATCTACCTTTAAAGCCATGTTCTAAAAAGTTATCCATTTCAACCACATTTTATAATAAGCTGTCCTGGAACTCTCTCTGTAGACCAGAGACCCACCTGCCCCTGCCTCCGGAGTGCTGGGGTTAAAGGCGGGCGCCGCCACCACACCAGCTGTGGTGCACATCCTTAATCCCAGCAAAACCCCCGCAAACCATTGTCCCCGCTCGTTCGGTAAATCCTCAAGCCACTGATTTGGAAACTAGAGTGTTCTTGGTGCTTTTCTACATCTGTGTTAATTTATTTGTCTTATTTTGTTTTTCTGGGTCTTTGCTGTTTGATTACTTAGTCTTTTATACGAGGTACTTGTGTTTAATAGTGTTCTCACCTCAGACAAGGACTGATTTAGACCAAATGAGAAACCAGCAGCACACAAATCTTATTTAGGCGTTTTACTTTCTTTGACACAGGGTGTCCCTCTGTAGCCCTGGCTGTCCTGGAACTTGCTCTGCAGACCAGGCTGGCCTTGAACTCAGAGATCCACCTGCCTCCTGAGGGCTAGGATTAAAGGAAGGTGTGTGACATCATGCTGGCTCTGAGAAAGGTAATTGCATATAACATTTATTTGTTTTTAAGACAAGGTCTCACTACACAGCCCAAGTTAGCCTCATCTCCTTTCTCCTGCCTACTCCAAGTGCTGGGATCTCAGCCATCACACAGCACTACACACACCCTGAAAATGCAAACCAATATGCCCATAATCCACCGCACAGCCTCACACCCAATAACCTCTAAAACGGGCCAGTTACCTTAGCTGCTTGAGACTCCCGTAAGTAGTACTTTAGCAGGTCAGAAAGCTTGAGGTCCTCGTCAGCAGACACTCGGGCCTCTATTTTCTGAAAAGGGGAAATGGCATTAAATCACCTGTTACATTCTGCTCTAAATAAAAACATTTTTAATATGTAGAAATGTTGAAGAACTACAGAACCCACTCTGCTTTATCTGGGTGGCTTTCAAAATTCCAACAAGAAATGAAGAGGAAAATCAAATAACACTAATGAATTTATAGGGAAATTCTGTATTTGGAAACTTGGCTTTCCTCTCATTTTTGGCTTCTCTATTACAGAATTTACTGCAATGGCAACTGATATGTGCTCACCAACAGATGAAGGAATTTAAGATGAGATGGAAAGGGAAGTTAAAAAGAACTCTTTGCCAGGTGGTGGCACACACCTTTAATTCCAGCACTCAGGAGGCAGAGGTAGGCAGATCTGTGAGTTCAAGGCCAGCCTGGTCTACAGACAGAGTACCAGGACAGCCAGGGCTACACAGAGAAACCCTGCCTCAAACAAAAACCAAAGCCAAATCAAACCAAACCAAAACCTCAAAAAAGAAAAAGAAATGAAGACAAAGGGTAATGTTGCTTTTGAGAAAATGTCTCACTCTGTAGCCCTGGCTAGCCTTGAACTCAAGAGTCCTTGAACCTCAGATTCCTGAGTGCTAGGATTAAACATATGCGCCAGCACGTCTGGCCTAAGAGATGTTTTATATTAGTTAAATACAATAAGAAACTTTATGTGTCTCCTGACTTGTTATACCACAAAAAGTCGCAATGGTGAGATCTTATTTGGTGACACTGAGAAAAACAATATTACTGGCTATATTTTGAGACAGGGTTTCTCTGTGTAGCCCTGGCTATACTGAAACTCACTCTGTACACCAGGCTGGCCTTGAATTTAAGAGATTTGCCTGCCTCTGCCTCCCAAGTGCTGGGATTAAAGTCATGTGCCACCACTGCCTGGCTTTTCCTTTCTTCTTCTTTTTTTTCCTTTTCATTTTAGTACTGGCTGTATTAAAAAACAGAACTTAGCACTCGGGAGGCAGAGTCAGGCGGATCTCTGTGTGTTTGAGGCCAGTCTGGGCTACAGAGTGAGTTCCAGGAAAGGCGCAAAGCTACACAGAGAAACCCTGTCTCGAAAAACCAAAAAAAAAAAAAAAACAGAACTGAGACGCATACAAAGACACAACACAGATGAACTTGGACATCGGAATAAAAGAATTATAAACCACACAGAAATGTTCAGTTTCAGGAAACCTTAGCGATGTGCACATAACTTTTCCTACTACTTTATATTCTTTTCTGTAATCTGAAACCAGGTCAGGTATGGTGGTGCACACCTATAATCCAGGTACTTGAGAGGTGGAGAACTCGGCTGTACAGAGTTCAAGACTAGCTTGAGATAGATCCTGACTCAAAAATGAATACCTGAAATTACTGTTAAAACTGTCAGGTTGGAGCCAGGTGGTGGTGGCGCACGCCTTTAATCCCAGCACTCGGGAGGCAGAGACAGGAGGATCTCTGTGAGTTCAAGGCCAGCCTGGTCTACAAAGCGAGATCCAGGACAGGCGCAAAGCTACACAGAGAAACCCTGTTTTGAAAAACCAAAACAACAACAAAAAAAAATACCCTGAACTGTCAGATTGGGGATTTAGCTCAGTGGTAGAGCGCTTGCCTAACAAGCACAAGGCCCTGGGTTCAGTCCTCAGCTCTGGAAAATTTAAAAAAAAAAAAAAAAAAAAAAACTGTCTATTTTTCTTAAAAGGCATGCTCACTGAGTAGCTAAAACACAGGAAAAAAACATCAAGTGTGAGTAAGCTCACAGAGAAACCTGAATGTTCAAGTTCATTTTAGTGGAAGCAAAATGTGGTAAAATGGAACCACATATCCCACAGTGCTAGTGTTGAAGGTCAGAGGTCAGCCTTTAGAAGCTGGTTCTCTTTTTCTTTTTTTTTTTTTAAGATTTATTTATTTATTATGTATACAGTGTTCTGTCTGCACATATCCCTGCAGGCCAGAAGAGGGCACCAGATCTCATTACAGATGGTTGTGAGCCACCATGTGGTTGCTGGGAATTGAACTCAGGACCTCTGGAAGAACAGCCAGTGCTCCTAACCGCTAAGCCATTTCTCCAGCCCCTGGTTCTCTTTTTCTATCACGTGGGTTCTAAGGCCTGAACTCAGGTCAAGGCAGCTAGGGCCTTTAACCACTGAGCCACCTCACTGGTCCTAAAATTTTTTTGGGGGGGGGGGGTGATAGATCATGCTCTGTGGTCCAGTCTCGTCTTGGAACCAGGACCTTCCTGCTTCAGCTCTCTGGGTGCTAAGGTATTGGGGTGACTCACCATAGCTGACGTTTTCAACTATTTTTTACATTAATTTTATTTTGTCTGGGTCATGAGGTGTGTGTGGAAGTCTGAGAACTTGGGGAGGTACCTCTTGTGTTTCACTGTTTTAGGGGCACAATAAAATACTATTAATACAAGTATAATTATATATGCAGCGGTTGTTCTCTCAAGCTTAATACTTACTCTTGTTTTATCAAACAGTTCTGAAACTTTGAGGAAAAACCTTCAAGGGAAAAATAAAATACTTTCATCAGAAGCAGCATTTGATTAATTTTTCACTTTAAGTGTATAGAGACAATATCCCCAAACCATATTAATAAAGGACATTCTTCCCAGGCAGTGGTGGCGCATGCCTTTAATTCCAGCACTTGGGAGGCAGAGGCAGAAGGATCTCAGTGAGTTTGAGGCCAGCCAGGTCTACAAAGTGAGCTCCTAGACAGCCCAAACTGTTACACAGAAAAACCCTGTCTTGAAAAAACAATAAATAAATAAATAAATAAAACAAAATAAAAATCCCCAAGACATTCTTGTTTCATCACATAAAGTATCCAATGGTCTTGTTAACTAAAGACTTCAACAGTTTAATAAAAACCTCCCTGCTCCTACAATAAACTGCTTATTTAAAATCCCCAGAATATTACTATCTTGATTCCCCAGAAACTATATACTGTAAGGTGAGAACAGACTCCCACAAGTTGTTCTCTGGACTCTACACTCATGCTCTTACATGTGTGCCCCACCCCAAATAAACAAACAGCCAGGCCGGTGGTGCACCCCTTTAATCCCAGCTCTCAGGAGGCAGAGGCAGGTGGACCTCTGTGAGGTAAGAGGTCAGCAAGAGTTACACAGTAAGACTCATCTCAACAAGAGAGGGTGGAGTGGAAGGGTCTGGAGCAGATGGCTCAGCAGTTCAGAGGACCCAGCACCCATGTCAGGGGCTCACAGTAACCTGGAACTCCAGTTCCAGAGGATCTGACATAGTGTGTGGCCTGCGAGGACACTAACACACAGGTGTTACATACTCACACAAACACACATACATACAAGTGAAAAAAAAATGTATGTAGGTAGCTAGAATATACAGATACATATAAATATATGTATTCTTTAAATTATTGTTTCTATGTGTGTGGACATAAATGTACATACAAATTAATTTCTATGTAAGTATGCTGTGGGAGTATGTCATACATGTGCAGAAGAGGGTGTTGGATCGCCCAGTACTGCAACTACACACAGCTATAAGTCACATACATACATGCTAGGAACCAAACTGAGCCATTTCTCCAGTTCCAAGATTAATTTTCTTCCTGCTCTTTTGGTTTTACGAGACAAGGCCTTACTGTGTAGTCCATGCTGGCCTAACTCAACACTGTTCTGCCTTAGCCTCCCAGGTCCTGGGACAGATGCGTATCACATCTGCCCTCGTTTTCTTTTTGAGGCAAAGGGTCATGTATACCAGATTGGCTTCAGCTTCAGTCCCACGAGCTGCCGTGATACACATCCCTATTGCGCGCGTGCGCGCGCACGCGCACGCACACACACACACACACAAAATACATATAAAAAAGTTAATGTTTAATTGGAGTACCAGGAATGGTGGCCTGTGCCTGTAAATCCCAGTAGCCAGCATTCAGGTAGCAGAGGCAGGAGAATCCAGAGACCAAGGTCCCTCTTGGCTACATAGCAAGTCTGAAGCCTGTGCGGGCCACGTGTAAACTTGCGACAACTTGTGGGGGAGATGGGGGAGTACTGGGTATTTAGCTCAGTGGTAGACTACGTTAAATGAAAAAAAGTTTAGTTTGACTGCCAATGAAATATATAGCAAATCTGTTAAATGTTCAGTATTTATTTATAGTCAGGGTCTCACTATGTAGCCAAGGCTAAACTAGAACTTATTATGTAGATGAGGCTAGTCTCAAACTCACAGATATCTGCCTGCCTTTGCTTCCTAGGTGCTGGAATTAAAGGTATGCACTACCATGCCTAGCCTGAAGTGTTTTATATTTTAAAATAATAATTTGAGAATGAGAGGGCAAAAAAGAAACCAACCATTTTATTATAATAAAAATCCAGTTTCTCATAAATGGGTTGATTAAAAAAAATCCTAAAATGCCTACGTAAATTATAAACACCGTTTCCTCTGCTGCTTCCCTTATATTCACGTTCTTAACTATAATCCTTACTTGCATATATCTGTAGAGTCCTGAGTTCCTAAAGCATATAATGAAGACCCAATTCTATTGTAATCATCAGCAGCACCTATGGAGAAAGTTTTAAGAATTAAAAATCAAGTTTTAATAATATATTAACTGTTGATTTAAAAATATTTACTGATTACCTATCTACAAAATAAGAGACACCCAGTAAAGGAACGGTACAAGCAGCTGTAATGCAATACGGCAGATACACCAGACATGTAAAAACTCTTTAGAAGCATGCAATGCTGCCTAAGTTGGAGAAGACTATGGAAACTGAAGAATGAGCTGGAGGATGAGAAAATCTTCACCAGCGAAGAGTGCACACACTGACTGACTACAGAAAGCAGCACAGAGAAGATCCCAGGCACAAAACAGCACTTGGAGCAGGTGGGACTCAGTACTGTTGGAAACAAAGGGGAGTGGATGAAGACAGAAAAACTGCAAACATTTTGGAGGTCAAGGTCTTGCAAACCAAAAGAGTTTGGGTCTGTGGGATAGATATCAATAAATACTTTTTTTTCTTTTCTGAGACAGGGTTTCTTTGTGTAGTTTTTGGTGCCTGTCCTGGATCTCGCTCTGTAGACCAGGCTGGCCTCAAATTTACAGAGACCTGCCTGGCTCTGCCTCCCAAGTGCTGCAATTAAAGGCAAGTGCCACCACCGCCCAGCAGATATCAATAAATATTTAAGCCATAAGGCGGCAAAAATCAACCTAAAAAGGATTTTAGAGCCCCTCCACCCCCAAAATCTGCTATCTACAGTCTAAAAGTGGAAAGACAGAAAAAGGCAGTGACCAACCAAGAAACTGCTACATATTATCTGGTAATAGATACTAGCAAAGCTACAAGTCACTGAGGAGGTCGACAGGTAGAAATTATGAACAGACTTGACAGACACGGGGGACACCCACAAATGATACCCCCTTTATTCAGATGCTACAGGGCAAAAGACTCCACTTCAGCACGACTCTCGGGATTTATCCACAGGCAGCTCACCTGAGGAGGGAGACTACAGTGCAACATGGAGCCACCCTTAGGACCTTGGGAATGTCAGCTTGGAATACATTTGGGTCCAAAGAAGACACTTGTGGGGGCCTGAGTGTCATAGACCAGAACTTAAGAACCACCATTCTAAAATCAGATTTTCATCAACTCTAAGTAACATGTCAACTTTACAATTATCTCAACTGAAATGTAAGCTAGGGAGTCGGGCAGAGAGATGTTACTCGGTGGATAACAGAGTAACTCAACTCAGTGGTTAAGAGCATCTGCTGTTCTTGTAGAGGACCTGGGTTTGATTCCCCGCACCCACATGAGGTGGCTCACAACCACCTATAACTCGTTCCAGAGGATCTGATACCCTCTTTCTGGCCTCCATGGTGCACACACACATACGATGAGGCATACACACACAAATACACATAAAACAAATCTTTTCTGTTGTTGTTTTTTCAAGACAGGGTCTCTCTCCAGAGCCCTGGCTGTCCTGGAACTCATTATGTAGACCAGGCTGGCCTCAAACTCAGAGGATCTGCCTGCCCCTGCCTTCAGAGTGCTGGGATTAAAGACCTGTCACCATGTCCAGCAAAACAGACAATCTTCAAAACAGTTTTACCACAGAAGTCTTACTTTTGTGAGATCTTGTCATCCTGTCAGATTTCGCAGACGCGTCCTTGACTCGGTTATGATATTCTAAAAGGAATGTTCGTTCATGCTCAAAGAAGTCGTCTACGTCCTGCAGGATGAGGAAAGAGCTAGCTGTTTACACACACATGCTCTATGTGACATGAAACCTTGACATCATTATGAAACTTCGTCAGGAAAGGAGTACAACTCCCTTCCAGCACTCAGGCTTTACACTGACCTTGCCCATGCAGTCAGACTTCAGCAGACAAGCCCGTAGTTTACAGCTGAAGGCTAGAGTGCCCTGTGTGTTTATCCTGAAACAGGCTCTGGCCTGCACTCTGCTGCTACAGACACAGCTGTCAGGAGGCAGCAGCAAATGCTTCTGAGGACAAGCGAGACATGCTTGGGTATCTAGAGATGAAAACCTACTTTCCTGGCCCATTATGCATTTCAGGGACCACCTAGCCTAACTAACTGCTTAGATGAACTCAGCCACATGAGCCTCTTGGGAGCAATGACACAGGTAACCACCATTCTGAATCTTTTTTTTAATTTTAAGCATGCATTTATTATTTATTTTCATTTTGTATGTACTGGTGTTTTGCTTGCATGTATGTCTGCACACCACCTGTGTACCTAGTGCCTACAGGACAGAAGAGGGTCGTGAGATCCCCTGAAACTGACCACATGGATACTGAGGCTCAAACCTGGGTCCTCTGGAAGAGCAGCCAGTGATCTTAACCACCGAACGAACCATTTCTCCAGCCCTCAATCTCTTCTTGAAATTAAGCTAGACATATGTTTAAAAAAAAAACAAAAAACACACACACACTAATAGTGCTTTCTAGCAACTGCTCTTCGAAAGTGTTACCGATATAATTTAGGCTTTATATCAACAGACTGCGCAGCAAGTCTGCACTAGCAAAGTGCCATTTCATATTGCTTTAAACTTGTCAGTCTATGGGGAAAAATGCTGCTAACTTGCAGGGTTCTAATGAAGACTGTAAACAAAACCTACAAATGAATATATTACACATGCTAAAAGTGTCCGTTGATTACGAAAGTCACAACCAATAGTGGTTTACATTTACTAGCTACGGAAATGTGAGCTATCGATGCGCAGCCACACCAGAGAGAAGACCAAGTTGTCGTGGCTGGAGAGCAGCTGGCACTCGAACTATCCACACAAGCTTAGAGTGTAAGTTAAATAGTACACACAGGCTTTCCTGCAGATCCGGAGCAGCAGTAACAATGAAACAGAAGCACTATTCACCTTTCTTAACAGTTGCTGATATTGTAACACTGACCGAAGAAAGGTACCAGATGAGTAAACTCTCATACCATTTTAAAAGCACCATTAAAGAAAAAAAGCTACTATTTGTATTTTCATCCGCCAGGTGGTGGTGGCTGTGCACACCTTTAGTCCAGCACTTGGAAGGCAGAGGCAGGGAGATCTCTGTGAGTTCGAGGTCAGCCTGGTCTACAGAGCGAGTTCCAGGACAGCTAGAGCTGTTACACAGAGAAACCTTGTCTCAAACAAAAAAATGGAAAAAAAAAAAAATTATTTTCATACATACTTCATTTCATCTTCCCCATAATCCTGAGAACCAAGTGATACTACTTCCTTTTTTTTTTTTTAGTTTTTCGAGACAGGGTTTTCTCTGCGTAGTTTTGGTGCCTGTCCTGGATCTCACTCTGTAGACCAGGCTGGCCTCGAACTCACAGAGAACTGCCTGCCTCTGCTTCCCAAGTGCTGGGATTAAAGGCGTGTGCCACCACCGCCCGATGATATTACTTCATTTTGAAGATGCAAAAAGTTTTTCCCCACATCATACATTTACCCAAAGACACTCCCAAAATCTCAGCTGAGATCTGACTAGATCCAATCCCAGGTCTGCCCCAGCATTTGCAAGCAAGACCAGGTGCTCAGAGGCAGCCCACCCTGTGGGACACATCTTTTGTCCTAGAATCTGAGGCACCTGCCTGTGCCTCCCTGTGAGTTCCAGGCCAACCAGGGCTAAACAGTAACACCTAATCTACAAAACAAAAGTATGTATTTTCAACTAACGCTGCTCAAGTATAAACTTTACCTTTACTCCTGAAACAATCACTCCATCTGCTGATTTAACCATGTTTTTAAAAAAATCCTCGAGCTTTTCTTTTTTATTTTTTCCTCGAACACTCAACTGAAAAAAATAAAAAGGCAATTTAAGTTAGTATTTTTGGAAGCTACAAACAGTAATACCTCTTTAACTCTTATTAACTCTTAAGACATTTAAATAGGATTTTTTTTTTTTTTTTTTTTTTTTTTGGTTTTTTGAGACAGGGTTTCCTCTGTGCAACTTTGGAGCCTGGAACTCGCTCTCTAGACCACGCTGGCCTGGAACTCACAGAGATCCTCCTGCCTCTGCCTCCTGAGTGCTGGGATTAAAATTAAAAGTAACCATTGCTGTGTATATCTCTCAGAGTGCCAACCATGGCGACACACACCTGGCACATGGGAGCCAACAGGAATTCAAGGTCACGACAGCTACACAGCAAGTCTGAGTACAGCCTGGGTTATACAAGACTATCTCAGAAAACCCTGAAACCTTTCTACACAGCAAGTCTGAGTACAGCCTGGGTTATACAAGACTATCTCAGAAAACCCTGAAACCTTTCTACACAGCAAGTCTGAGTACAGCCTGGGTTATACAAGACTATCTCAGAAAACCCTGAAACCTTTCTTTTACAAGTGAAAGAGGAAGTCAGCAGAAATACAGATGCTCAAGGTCACTCTCCAAGGCTCAGATGGTAAGGGCCCACTTAATTTTACAAGACGATCTGATAACTCAGCTGCAAGCAGTCCTCTCACCTTTCCCTGACAAACAGTATAATACTAAAGCGGCAACCAAACGTTTAATTCAGAGCTGGGCATGGCGGCACACACCTTTAGTCCCAGCACTGCAGAGGCAGGCAGATCTCCATGAGTTCAGGTGGTCCCCACAGGCTCATATATTTGAATGCTTTGAGAGTGGCATTGGGAGGTGTGGTCTTATTGGAGGAAGTGTGTCACTTTGAGGTTTCAGAAGCTCAAGCCTGGCCCAGTGTCACTCTCTCTTCCTGCTGCCTGCTGCTCCAGATGGAGAGCTCTCAGCTCCCTCTCCAGCACCATGTCTGTCTGCACACTGCCATACTTCTCACCATGCCAAAAATGGAATAAACCTCTGAACTGGAAGCCAGCCCCAATTAAATGTTTTCCTTTGTAAGAGGTGCTGTGGCCATGGTGTCTCTTCACAGCAACAGAACCCTGACTAAGACAGCAACTGAGTAAAGCTGGGAGTGGGAGAGGCAGTCCTCCCGAGCGAAGAGCACACCAAGTGGCAGTCCAGCGACACAAGGACAGCCCTGGGAAACAAACCTACAAGTAAAACTGTACGGACTTACCAGGTTCTATTTACAAATCTGTATGTGTATACAAATACATATAGACACGCAATAACAAACAGTGACAGAAGAGGCTATGATCTGAAGGAGACTGGAGTGGGGTATATGGAAGGCTTGGAGGGAAGGAAGGGAAGGGGGAAATGCTGTAATTAAATTAGAATGTCAAAAACAGACAAACAAAAAACCAAAGCAGCCAGGTCACGGCGGCGCACGCCTTTAATCCCAGCACTTGGGAGGCAGAGGCAGGCAGATCTCTGAGGTCAAGGTCAGCCTGGTCTACAGAGTGAGTTCCAGGATAGCCAGGGCTACACAGAGAAACATTCTCCCCAAAACAACAACAAAATCAACTAATATAGTTGTTTAAAAAAAAAAAATGGGCTAAAGAGATGGCTTAGCAGGCTCACAACCAAAAACATAGCAAACCACCAAAATAAAACAAATAACCCCAGAAGTGAGCCAGGTGTGGTGGCACACGCCTCTAATCCTAGCACTGGGAGGCAGAGGCAGAATATCTCTGTGAGTTCAAGGCCAGCTTGGTCTATATAATGGGTTCCAGAACAGCAGAGCTACATAGTAAAACCATCTCAAACAATAAAGTAAAATAAAATAAGAATTGAATTACAGCCAGGCCTGATGGTGCACACCTTTAGGCTCAGCACTCTGGGAGGCAGAGGCAGGAAGATCTGTGAGTTAGAAGCCTGTCTGGTCTACAGAGCAAGATCCAGGACAGCCAGGGCTGCACAGAGAAATCCTGCCTCGAAAAACAAAACAATAAACATGCTGGAGTTGGGTATGATGGTGCACTCCTTTATCCCAGCACTGAGGAGACAATTTGGTCAACTCTCTATGTATGGAGTTCCAGACCAGCTATACACAGGGAGACCCTGTCCCCCCACCCCACCCCTCACCCCCAAAAGACCTGGGAGCTCATGAACCCGGGCCATCATATGCCAGGTGAGTGCCTATAACTGAGTTTTATCTCTTTTACAATTATTTACTTTTTGTTTGTTTCTTTGTGTAGCCCTGGCTGGCCTAGAACTCCCTCTGCAGACTGCCTCAAACTCACAGAGATCCACTTACCTCTGCCTCCTAAGTGCTGGGATTAAAGGCGTGTGCCACCATGCCCCACTCAATTATTTACTTCTTTAAAAAATATTTATTTTTATTTCATGTTCATTGGTGTTTTGCCTGCATGTATGTCTGTGTGAGGGTGTTGGAGCCCCTGGAACTGGAGCTACAGACAGTTATAAGCTGCCATATGGGTGCTGGGGATTGAACCCAGGTCCTCTGGAAGAGCAGCCGCCAGTGCTTTTTAACTTATGAGCCACCTCTCCAGCTTATAATTATTTATTCTTAAAAGTATTTATAATATATATTAATTATATATTATATAATTAATGTATATAGTTGATATATATATCTTTTTAATTGTTTTGTTTTGTTTTGTTTTTTATTATGTATACAGTGTTCTGTCTGCATGTATGCCTGCAGGCCAGAAGAGGGCACCAGATCTCATTACAGATGGTTGTGAGCCACCATGTGGTTGCTGGGAATTGAACTCAGGACCTTTGGAAGAACAGCCAGTGCTGAGCTGAGCCATCTCTCCAGCCCTGCTTTGTATTTTGTAAATAGGGTTTCTCTGTGTAGCCTTGGCTGTCCTGGAACTAGCTCAGGACAGTAGTAGATCAGGCTAACCTTGAACTCAAGAGATCTGCCTGCCTCTGCCTCCCCTTATTTTTTAATATTTATATATTTTACTTAAAAATAAACAATACATAAGAGCCACTAAAATCAAGTATCATAATTAGTTTATCTATCCCCTGAATTTATAAAAGGAACTCCTTACATTGCAAAAATAAGTATTTGGATTTACATTCATTGATATCACTAAACTTTGAAATACCTGAATATCAAACAATCTGGCCCAGGCCTGGAGCTGGGGGTTGGGTGTTCAGGGAAAAGGTCACATGAAAAGGTTAAAGGGAACAGGACTCATGCAGGTGTCTCTCCTTGAGCCATATCATAGTCCCTGAATTGACTGAGGATGAAAATGTTTAAAAAGAAGCCAGGCGGGTTAGAGTTCAGTCTAGTCCTGGTGTAATCGTAAGTACTAAGTAAGTAAACAGAGCACGTATTGAGAGTTTGAAGCTAGTCTGAAATACAGACTTGAAAAAGTTTTTGGCCTGGGGATGTAGCTCAGTTCACAGAGGCTAAATAAATCTCTAAGTTCTCCGCCCAGCACCACACAAACACTGGGCACAGTGGCACATGCCTATCATCACAGCACTCATGAGGTAGGGGCAGGAGGATCAGAAGTCCTGTGTCATCAAGGGTTGCACAGAGTTTGAGGAATCTGGGACACCTGGGCCTCTGTCTCAGAGAAATACAAAACAAAGTTGTTTATTTCGGGTTTTTAGATTATGAAAGTTCAATTTATAACTTAACTGGTCCACTCAAGTTCTCTGCTTCACTACTAAAAATGTGACACTTTAGACTGCCTTGAAAAATCAAAGCATTTGGAGCAGTGAGATGGCTCTGACCTTTCTACGATTATAAAACTCTCAGTACAGGCTACAAAAACCCAGGACCTTGCTCATGCTAAGCGAGTGCTGTCTTCTCCATCCTTCCAAACATCAGAGAAAATAATAAACAGCAACAACAACTTTGACCACTGCAAATCCAGTGATTTGATACTTACATCTTGATTATACTCCAAGAAGACGTGGAAATTTAAATCTTTTCTCAAAATAGGATGCGCTGCCACACGACAAAGGAACACCTCATGCATTGCAACTGTCTTCTTGAAAATTGCCAGATATTCACTAGAAACAACATAAAATTGAGAATGAGCAATGGCACCAACTAGAAGTCACTCCAACAACTGTTCTCCGGAACATTCTAAATGTAAAATAAAAACCAGAAAGGCAAAGACATAATTCTTATCAACAAAGCTTTTAGCTGAACTGTTTGGCAAAAATATAAAGTTCACTTCTGAAAAGGCCTCATGCTATTTTAGTATCTATTGTATCTAAACGTTAATATCTCAAGTCTTATAAACTTGATGTTGGGTCACTATTGGGGTATTGTTTTTTTGTTTTGTTTTTTTAAGATTTATTTATTTATTTATTCTGTATACAGTGTTCTGCCTGCATGTATGCCTGCCGACCAGAAGAGGGCACCAGATCTCATTATAGATTGTTGTGAGCCACCATGTGGTTGCTGGGAATTGAACTCAGGACCTTTGGAAGAGCAGCCAGTGCTCTTAACCACTGAGCCATCTCTCCAGCCCGGGGTATTTGTTTTTTAGCTCTAGAGAAATTATATGATACAACCATAACTCAATTTTTATATAATTATAGCCTTTACACACCTAACACATAAATATTCCTAATTTTGTTAATCATTATTTTCAGTGTTAATCATTATTTTCACATAGTAACCAAAGTATGTGAGAAAGACCAACCACAGAGCAACTATTTATGACCTTATAATGAAGATATGTGTTTAAGCATATTATCAATGACTCCCAGCAACCATACAGCAGCACAGGACAGCTGTGTGTGTGTGTAGGGGGGACCACTCAAGGAAAGAGCCTGGTAGTCTTGCTTCAACTTCATGCAAGAAGTGTACATTTTACACACCACACACACATCAGAGGCTCAATGTTGAGAGCAGTTTGATGATGACGATCTGTGGGTTGTCATTCAGTGCAGAGGGTGGAGGTAGCAGGAGGACCAACCCAAGGCTCTCTCTAACCAGGCCACAAAGAACCATCATCAGGGCCACCTGAAAACCAGAGCTTCAGCAGAGTGCGCTCTGCTAACTTCCAACTCGGTCTTCTCAACGGTAATTATAGTAGTCTATGAAACTGTTGCACCAGAGCTGACCGAGTTGACGTGTCACTTTACACTCTGACAAAAACCTAATCTGCTCATTTATCTTTCCAATAACTTACTGAAATTCTGAAAACTGGGGACAGATGCCTGAAAACTAACTAAAAAGAAGAGTAAGGAAAATGCACAAAAGGAGAAGGGCCAGAAAAAGAGAAACGAGGTGACAAGAGAAACAACTCCCTCGGCCAACTCTCAGAACACTGACAAGGTCCTCGAGTGTTCTGTTACTCACATGGCCTGCAGTCACTCTGTTTCCTTTTTGAACTGCCTGTGTGTGTGTGTGTGTGGAGTCAGCTCTCCCGTCCCACCTTATGTGGGATCTAGGGACTCAACTCAAGTGCTTTGCCTGCTGAGCAATCCCATTCCCAGCAATGCTGACAGTGTATCTCTGATCTATGTTTCCTCCTTTTTATTTTTTGTTTGTTTGTTTTTCAAGACAGGGTTCTCTGTGAAACAGTCCTGGCTGTCTTGGAACTTGCTCTATAGACCAGGCTGGCCTCAAACTCACAAGAGATCCTCCTGCCTCTGCCTCCCAAGGGCTGGGATTAAAGGTGTGCGGCCACCACCACCTGGCTACTTTTCCTTTATTTATGAATAAAGTTTTCTTGCTACTTTGAAAAAAATAAAATTATAAATAATATATTGAAAATGTAAAATTCATATTGTGTTCTGTAACTATCATTTAAGATCTGGAAATGTACTTGGCAGGTATCTTTGTTGTGGGCAGGTAGATGGACTCTCTGGGATATCAGATTGATACTGAGCATCATAAAAATTAAAATAGCCGGGCGGTGGTGGCGCACGCCTTTAATCCCAGTACTCGGGAGGCAGAACCAGGCAGATCTCTGTGAGTTCGAGGCCAGCCTGGGCTACCAAGTGAGTTCCAGGAAAGGCGCAAAGCTACACAGAGAAACCCTGTCTCGAAAAACCAAAAAAAAAAAAAAAATTAAAATAAACTTTCACATCTCCCCAAAGTAGAAAGTTCAAAAGTTTAATAAAAAGAGGGGGTTGAAACTATTTTCTCAAATATGTTAAAGTGAAATTTTATCAGTTTTTCAAGGACTTAATATGCGGAGTTTATGTAAAAATAATTTTGCCCACATGTGTTTGTGCACATGCTTGACCGCCAAGGAAGCCAGAAGAAGACATCAGATGTTGCAAAGCTGGAGTTACTGTTGTAATCCACCTGATACACTTTAGTCCTCTGCAAGAACAGCAAGCACTCTTAACCTTTGAGACATCTCTCTAGCCCCCTAAAAGTAATTTAATGAGAAAAACATTCTTTTAAATATTTATATTAGTTTGTTCCTATTCTTTTTTGGGGGGGGGGGGGGATTTGAGACAGGGTTTTCTCTGTGTAGCTTTGGAGCCTGTCCTGGAATTCACTCTGTGGCCCAGGCTGGCCTGGAACTCACAGAGATCTCCCGAGTGCTGGGATTAAAGGCGTGTACTTCTATAGGCCAGAGCAGTTACAGAAAGGAAATTAAATATACATGCACTTTTTGTTGCTTGTTTTGAAGCAGGGTTTTATGTGGCTTTGAACTCACTATATATATATGAGGTTGACCCTGAACTGATCCTCCTACCAAGTGCTGGGATTGTAGGTTTGGGCATATGTATGTATGTATGTATGTATGTATGTATGTATGTATGTATATGTATATACACATATACACACCATATATATGGTGTACACTACACAGTGAAGTTCCAGGATAGCCAGGGCTACACCGAGAAACCCTGCCTTGAAAATCCAAAATAAACAAACAAACAAATAAATACAGTCATGTTGGCTTCCATATATATATATTGTTTTTTGAAACAGGGTTTCTCTGTGTAGTTTTGGAACCTATCCTGGAACTCACTCTGTAGACCAGGCTGGCCTTGACTGAACTCACAGAGATCCACCTGGCTCTGCCTCCCAAGTGTTGGGATTAAAGGCATGCGCCACCACCACCCAGCTGGCTTCCTAATATTTTTTTTTTTTTAGGTTTTTCGAGACAGGGTTTCTCTGTGTAGCTTTGCGCCTTTCCTGGAACTCACTCTGTAGCCCAGGCTGGCCTCGAACTCGCAGAGATCCGCCTGCCTCTGCCTCCCGAGTGCTGGGATTAAAGGCGTGCCCCACCACCGCCCGGCGCTTCCTAATATTTTAAGAAGGTTTTAGATCCTAATTTTCAATAACTTAAAAACCTGTGTAATTGTCTGATTTTCACGAAGAGGCTCTGATCACGATCGTTTACACTGGCTTTGAGGACTTAGCCTGGACTTTTCAGTCACTGCAGTGAAACGGTTAAAGAACGGTATCAGAAAGCTCAAAGCAGGCACCAAACAAGCAGCTGACAGGACTAACGGGACCCGCCCGTCACGTACGCTTCCAGCTCCTGCTTCATCTTCGTGAACTCCTCCTTTGTCATCGATCCTTCCCCTTCTCCAAGCTTCTGCAGTTTTTCCCGGGAAGCATCAAAATCAGGTCTTGGTGGTGCTGGTGGGATCTATAACAAAACCAAAAACTCAGGAACTCTTTCTTTCTTTAACATTTGGTTTTAGGTACGCACACACGCACGCACGCACGCACGCACGCACGCACGCACGCACGCACGCGCACACACACTTGCCCAAGCATGTGCAGTGGTCAGAGAATAACCTGCAGGACTCCTGTACTCAGGAGGCTGAAGTACAATGGCTGCTAACTTGAGACCAACCTGGCCTACCTATACTTGAGAACAGCCTTAATTACAAAGTGAAATCCTGTCTCAAACTAAACAAAACACAACAGTGAATGGATAATGCCAAAGTACACCAAATGAATTGAGCACCAGAAATACCAAAATTGAGATTAGAAAACTTCACTAGTTTTAGAAACCAAGATCTCTGGGTTCCTGTATACCAATGAAGAAATAGAGGATAACATTATTTTATTAGCTTGTGGCAGAGGCCGCAGCAAAGCCTCTTGCCTCACCCCTCCAAGTGCCCAACTCCCATAATACTGTTTATTTTGGGGGAGGCAATGACACATTAGGATGCTTCTTAAGGAGTGGAGAGATGCCCGGGGTAATAGCACCACAGCACAAAGCCTGATGACCTGAATTTCTGTCCTAAGCACAGGCCAGACACAGTGGCACATGTCTGCAATCCCATGTATATGCTCCACAAACAAATAGGTACACACACATTAAAATAAGCATTAAAAGTCAGGCGGTGTTGGCTCATGCCTTTAATCCCAGCACTTGGGAGGCAGAGGCAGAGGCAGGAGGATCTCTGTAAGTTTGAGACCAGCCTGGTCTACAGAGTGAGTTCCAGGACAGGCTCCAAAGCTACAGAGAAAATCTGTCTTGAAAAAACAAAACAAACAAACAAAAATATTAAAAATTAAAAAAATTTTAAGACACTTCTAGCCAGGTGTAGTGGTGTGCAACTTTAATCCTAGAAAGTAGGGAAAGTCGGAATTAGAATGCAAAAAGAAGACTACATTATTGGTCATTCACCAAAATCTGAGCTACAGAAACAGATGACTCAAGGGGGTGCTGGCCTCAAGATAAAGACACACAGTAAGGCCATGATGACCTCAGGGAAATCATAAATTTCAGGACTCTGGCCGTGCTCAACAGCTGAGGAGAATAACCACTTACTACTGATTACAACATCTTAAGGAGCCTTCTAAACTCCAGTTTCTGTCCACTCAAGCATCCCAAACCAGTACAGTTTGTAGCATTCCTCAATTAATCACCTACTCCAATACTAATTATCCATGTTTAGAAGGGCTCGTGCCTGTAACCCTAGCACTTGAGAATCAAGACTGTTGCAGGTTCAAGGTCAGCCTGGACTACACACTAAACAGTGAGTTCCAGACCATGAAAGGGCTAGACAAAACAGCAAGACTCTATTTTGAATAAATAAAAAGAATTCAAAGTTAAGCAAAAAAGTATAACATTTTCAAAGTAAGACAAGACAACTCAGGATAAAAGGTGGTAGGCCAATGCCTCACAATTGGTATTTTTACAAATCACATCAGTTACTAAAAATGCTAAACAAAACCACATGAGTTTCTAAAATGTTCTTAGAAAATGAAAACCCAGGCTAGAAAGATGATTATCAGTAAAGACTGACAGAGTTCTTGCAGAGGAGCCAAGATCAGTTCCTAACACAGTTGGGTGGCTCACAACCACCTATAACTCCAACTCCAAGGACATCTGATGCCTCTGGCCTCCACAGGCACCTGTACTAACATGCACATACCCACACACAGATACATATATACATAATTTAAAATAAGAGCTGGAGAGATGGCTCAGCAGTTTGGTGCTCTCCCACAGAACCCTGGTTTGGTTCCTAGCACCCATGTCAGGCAGCTCATAAACTTCCTGTTATTCCAACTCCACAGTATCTCTTCTGGCCTGTGTGAGCAACTCCACTCACACACCTAGATGCATGCACATTAAAAAAAAAAATCTTAACAAGAAAATGAAACCTAATACTTACAATGTAACCTGCATAGTCTTCATTTTCAACGAAGGAATCATGTAGCCAGATAAATTCCTCATGTTGTCGAACGACTGAAAATTCATTTTGTTTAAAATTTGGCAATGAACTCTGCAAAGACAGCAATTTTCCTGAATAAAAGTAAAATTATCCTCGGATCTTTGAAAAAAAGTCAACAGGCACCTATTTATTATACTGTTATCATCACTTAAAAGTTATACTATTGGCTGGTGTAGTGGCACTCACACAGAAGACAGGCAGATCTCTGGGAGCTGAGGCCAGCCTGGTCTACAAAGTGAGTTCCAGGCCAGCCAGAGCTATGTAGTGAGATAGACAGACAGACAGACAGACACAGACACACATACTCACTCACACACGAACCTAGAAATTAAAATTATATGTAGGTTCTGTGTTAACTCCTAAAATCATAATTAACTCCTCCAGCCTGGTCTACATAGTCAGTTCCCAGACAGGAAGAACTACATATTTTAAAAAAAAAAGAAAGGTCAAACAAACAAACAAACAAAAAGTAACTTCCCTAAACTTGTTTGTTAAAGAATCAATTAAGACCTATGCCTCTTTCCAATACATTCAAAATTTAAGTTTTGAATCAATTGAATCAAAACCAATCAACATGTCACATAAGTGTCAGCATTTCTAAAGGAACACCAAATACCAAGCCCCACTTTACCTTGGTGTGAACAGTGAATTTGACTTTATCCCGTTCACTGAGAGCATCCGAAATGTCCACTTGCAGGGCGGCGTCACTCTGAAGATCTACATTGATTGCTTTAAGCTAAAAGAGAAAGCACAGTATAAAGAAAGTTTCTAGTTTGCGTGCATGCGTGCATGCGTGCGTGCGTGCGTGCGTGCGTGTGCCTGAGCGTGCGTATGTGCATGTGTGCATGAAGGGGCCCCTGAGGGTCAGAAGAGGGAGTAGGATCCCCTGGAACTGCCATGTGGGTGCTGGGAACTGAACTAGGGTCCTGCACAAGAGCAGTAAGTGGTCTTAACCGATGAGCCATCTTTACAGTCCCCTTTTCTTTTTTAAAAGACAGATAGGTTGGCCTCAAACTTGTGATCCTCCTGTCTCTGTCTTCTGAGGGTGGGAATTAAAGGTATGTATCAGGAAACCTGGCCCTGTGTACTTTTATGTAATTCCATTCTCCATCACAACAAGACGACACAAAACCAAAACAGAGAGATCAGGGTATGAACTCTCTCTCCCATGGTCCCAGCACTCAGGAGGCTGAGGCAGAATGATAAACACAAGACCAGTTTAGACTACACAGCTAGACCCCATCTTAACCTCCACCATCAAAAATATAAGGAATCGCCAGGTGGTGGCGGTGCACGCCTTTAATCCCAGCACTCGGGAGGCAGAGCCAGGTGGATCTCTATGAGTTTGAGACCAGCCTGATCTAAAGAGCGAGATCCAAGACAGGCACCAAAACTACACAGAGAAACCCTGTCTCCAAAAACCAAAAAAAAAAAAAAAAAAAAAAAAAAAAAGTAAGGAATTTTTTTACTTTATAGTTTGTTTTTTAACTAATGTACAAGCCACTTTTAAAATAATTACTGTGGCAGGCTGGCTAATGGCTCCTAAAAGTATCTCCATCGAAACCTGCAATCTGTGAATGGGCCTTATGTAGCCAAGAGGCCTTTGCAGATTTAATTCAATTAAGAGTTCTGAGATGAGATTATCCTAGCTCATCTAGGTATACCTTAAAACTTTAAGGCCAAACCAGGCAGGGTGGGCCCAGCACTCTGGAGGCAGAGGCGGGTGGAGCTCTGTAAATTAGAAGCAGCCCGATCTACAGAGCAAGTTTCAAGCCAGCCAGGACTACACTGAGATACTGTCTCCAAACAGGACCAACTAGTCCAACCGAGAGAAGGCATATGCCTGCAAAGATCGGAGCACTGCAGCCACCAGTGAGGACTGCTGCTGCTACATCCAAGCTGAAAGAGGAAGGACAAGACCCACAGGGCTCTGGAGCGATGATACCAGGTTAGTGCTGATTATTTTATTTATATGTTTTATGTATGAGTGCTCTGCAGTATACCCGGGCCAGAAGAGGGCACCAGATCTTATTACTGATGGTTGTGAGCCACCATGTAGGTGCTGGGAACTGAACTCTGGACCTTTGGAAGAATAGCCAGTGGTCTTAGCTGCTGAGTCATCTCTCAGCTCCTAATGCTGATTTCTAACTTGCAGAATTATGAGAATTAATTGCTGTTATTCTAACCCATTTGTGCTAATTCATTGCAACACCCAGAGAAACTAGTACATCAATCATACAGTTTTTGGAATAACTTTACATTCTCTATTTTGCGGTTTTTTGTTTTTTTTTTTGGCATGCACACACAGGCACAAGCAAGCACAAGCTGGGGGTGAGTGGGGTAGTGTTAGGGTTGATCTTTGCACATGGCAAGCATGTGCTCGACTGCTGAGCTACATCCCCAGCTCACATTTCCTCATCTGTCATGTATGTACTGCCTAGATTAGCATTTCCCAAATACAACTGATAAGAATCAACCTGACCAGATGTGGTGGTGCACATCTGTAATCCCACAAGCAGAAGGTAAAACAGGAATGAGTTTGATGCCAGCTTAGGTTACACACTGAGCAATGGGCCAGCCTGAGCTAAGTGCCGGACCCTGCCCCAGAAAACAAAGATTACTCCATATTATTAAAGTCATTTTTTTCTTTCCCTTCCCCTTCTTTCTATACCAAACACAATGCCCTCCCCCTTTATCAATAGCACAACTCTTGGCTTTTCCTTGTTTGTTCTCTGAGACAAGGTTTCACTTTACAGTCCAGGGTGACCTTGAATTCAAGGGCTCCTGAGTGCTGGCATTTACAGGCATGATGGAATTATACGAATTCACCACCATGCTCAGCTAGCATTTGTTGTTTTTGATTCTATCTCTATAAATATCCATGTATCACACAATGCACACTTTTATCTAGAGCAGAGGTTCTCAACCTTCCTAATGCTGCGACCCTTTAATACAGTTCCTCTTATTGTGACCCCAAACCATAAAAGTATTTTGTTGCTACTTCATAACTGTAATTTGCTGCTGCTATGAATCATAACGTAGATATCTGTTTTCCAATGGTCTTAGGCCACCCCTGTGAAAGGTTGATAAATGCTGATTTAGTCCATGATTCATTTTTTTTTAAAAGATTTATTTATTATGTATGCAATGTTCTTTATGTCTGCAGGCCAGAAGAGGGCACCAGATCTCATTACAGATGGTTGTGAGTCACCATGTGGTTGCTGGGAATTGAACTCAGGACCTCTGAAAGAGCAGTCAGTGCTTTTAACCTCTGAGCCATCTCTCCAGCCCCCCATTTTTTTTTTTTCAAGACAGGGTTTCTCTGTGTAGTTTTGGCTATCCTGGAACTCACTCTGTAGAACAGGCTGGCCTGAACGCACAGAGAGCTCCCTACCTCTGCCTTCCCAGTGCTGAGATTAAAGGTGTGGGCCACCACCACCTGACTCAAATTTTTAAATACAATTTAGATATAATATGCAAGTCAAAATTAATTTGAAGCCTTAACAAACACGCGTTGCAAAATGCCAAACTGAGATAATGGACATTTCTATCATTTCCACAGAGTCCCTTTGTCCCTTTAACAAACGTAACTTTCCTGCTTTTAGTTCTTGAGTGTGGCTTCTGCAGATGTAGGGTAATGCTTGTGCTGTGAAGGGGAAATGTCTGTCACTCTCCACCATATTTTGTTTTGCATGAGATGAGGTATCACTGTGTAGCCCTGGCTACACTGGAACTTACAATGTAGATCAGGCTGGCCTCTCCCTCCCAAGACTAGGATTAAAGGAGTACGACACCATGCCCAGCTCATCATACTTTTTGCGACAGCATCTCTCACCAAACCTGAAGCTGGCAGTTTCAGCTAGCCTGGATGGTTAACCACTTCCTGGGATCTGCCTGTGTCCACCTTCCCAATGCTGAGTCACAAACATATACTGCCATGTCCAACCTGTTTTTATCAGCAGGCTCTGGGGATTAGAACTGAGATCCTCACACTTATACAGCAAGCATTTCATCCAGTGAGTCGTCCCCAGCCCTAGTTCTTAACTTCCTAACTTTTCAGTGACTTTTCTCTTGTATCCCTTACTAAAGCATATTATACATACTAATGACTTACTTGTGACTAAGTCAACCTACCATGTCTTTTTCATCTTAAAATCAGAGTTCACTACCCATTCCAAAAACAACACTTAGTTCTAGAGTTGATTGTAGAAAGTACATACCGCCAGGCAGTGGTGGCGCACACCTTTGATCCCAGCACTTGGGAGGCAAAGGCAGGCAGATCTCTGTGAGTTCGAGGCCAACCTGGGCTACAGAGTGAGTTCCAGGAAAGGCGCAAAGCTACACAGAGAAACCCTGTCTCGAAAAAACAAAAACAAAAAAAAGAGAGAGAGAGAGAGAGAAAGGAAAAAGAAAGTATATACCAGTTGGGTGGAGCACGCCTTTAATCCCAGCACTTAGGAGGCAGAGGCAGGTGAATCTCTGAGTTCAGGGCCAGCCTCTGGTCTAGGGCTACACAGAGAAATCCTGTCTCAAAAAAACCAAAAAGGGGTTTGGGGGGAGAACGAACCAATCTCCAGAGCTGAAAAACAGCTCTTCATGATACAAATGGAACACTCCTCACACCCGATTTCTTTCATTTATATGTCATCATCAATACAACATATCAGCCAGAGTGTTCCTTCTGATTCTCCCTATAGTCGGTTTCTACACCCACTTCACACCCCAATAATTACTTCCTAGGACCTGAGCACATAGAAAAGTAGACACAAAGGATTATTTCACTTGACAGTAAGTTGCATTTCACATACATAAGACTTTTTTTCAAGTCCTGTAAATAATTACCAAGATATATAATGGAAAAGCCAGTCTCTAAGATGAAACTCCCCCTGCTTCCTGATCTCAGGTGGCAGTGTATTATAAAATGAAATCACTCCCACATCAGCACAAAGTTTCACTGAAATCTAATTTGCTAAACTGCTTCAATGCATTTTTTTTCCTGGTTTTTGAGACAGGGCTTCTCTGTGTAGCCCTGGCTGTTCTAGAACTCAACTTTTAGACCAGGCTGGTCTCGAACTCACAGAGATCCACCTCCCTCTGCCTCCTGAGTGCTAGGATTAAAGGCATGCACCATCACTACGCAGTGTTCAGTGCATATTTTTATATTTTAATATACTAAAATAAATCTTTCAGTTAATCACAAAACTGTATTTTAACGATATTTTCTTTTTTTGTATTACACTGAAAAAATTTCAATCACCTTCACTTAGATTTCATAAAACATTATATTGTAAATTTAATGTTAATTACATAAATTATATAGATTTCCCAGGTAGACTCTTTTCCATTATGGAAAAAAAAAGTAACTTCAGAAGGTTTTATTAAGGGAAAGACTTAATGCAGACAACCTGTGATCACCAACATTTAATTAAATTTTTGCAACTAGTGAGTTCAGTTTGAAGAACTTTCTAATTAGACTTTAACTGGTTTAATCTTTATTTGGACCAATAAACTTTGTACTTTTTTTAGTTAGAGACTGAATAAGTTAAACATTTGTGTTGTTGTTCATAAGAAAGACAAGGACACAACATGTGTACTCAGCAACAAAGATATAGTATCGTTAAAAATAATCTAAGGCCCAGGGAGGTGGCGCACACCTTTAATTCCAGCACTAGAGGCAGAGCCAGGCAGGTCTCTGGGAATTCCAGCCTGGGCTACAGAGCGAGCTCTGTCTCAGAA